ACCACTTGCTCCGGGAGCCAGACCAAAAACTGCTTTTTGTACAAGTAGGGGGCTATGGCAGTTCAGGGTGCTCTGCTTTGGCCTCTGCAATGCGCCGGCTACTTTTGCCAGGTTAATGGACAGGGTGTTATCAGGTATTCCACGGTCAGAGTGTCTGGTGTACCTGGATGACATCCTGGTCCATGGTAGTTCTTTTCAGGCCTCTCTAGAGGCTCTCAGGCGAGTGCTGAGTTGCATTAGCGAGTCTGGCTTGAAGCTACACCCAGAGAAATGTCACTTCTTTAGGAGGGAGGTGACGTTCTTGGGGCACAAGCTGGGGGGGCAGGGGATTGGCACAGTGGAAGAGAAGGTGCAGGCAGTGAGCGGGTGGCCCACTCCTACAACGTCGCAGCAGCTCAAAAGTTTTTTGGGGTTAGCCTCATATTACAGGAGGTTTGTGCAGGGTTTTTCTACCATTGCAGACCCACTTTTCGGCCTGCAGAAGAAGGAGAAGTCCTTCACGTGGACTGAGGAGTGTCAAAACTCTTTTGATGCCCTGAAACAGGCCCTGGTCACAGCCCCTATATTGGCTCCTCCTGATTCGGCTCTTTCCTTCATTCTGGACACAGACGCCAGCAATGTGGGTATGGGGGCAGTTCTCTCTCAGGTGGGGTCTGGGGGGGAACGGGTCGTGGCCTACTACAGCAAAACGTTCAACAAATCTGAACGCAGATACTGTGTCACCAGAAGGGAACTTGCTGCTGTGCTTTTTGCAGTTCGGCACTTTAAGTATTACTTGTGCGGGTTACCCTTCACTGTACGTACTGACCATTCCGCTCTCCAGTGGCTAATGTCATTTAAAGAGCCAGAGGGCCAGTTGGCACGCTGGATTGAGGAACTTCAGACGTACGACATGAGGGTAGTACACCGGGCAGGGTCAGGACATGCAAATGCAGATGCTCTGTCTCGTCGGCCTTGCTCAGCCGTCGGATGTCGGTACTGTGACAAGAGGGAGGCCAGGGACAGAGAGCTTGGGAACCCAGATGCCAGTAGTACCTCTTTGGGTTGTACGCATGGTGATACGCCAGTGTGTTTGGCAGTTGAGACAGTGAGTGTAGAGGACTGGAGGCGGCTGCAAGAGGAAGACCCAGACGTGCAACCAGTAATACAGTGGGTCCAAGCTCAGCAGCGACCTCCGTGGGAGGAAGTGGCCATTGTCTCGCTGTCCACAAAGAACTTATGGGCCAAATTTAAGGTCCTGCGCTTGCAAGACGGGGTGTTGCAGAGGGAGTGGAAGGACCCTGCCACTGGGGAGGGGAGGTGGCAGGGGGGGGTACCCAGGTCGCTACAAGAGGGGGTTATCAGGGCTGCCCATGGGACAGTGGGCTCTGGACACTTTGGGGTGTCGAAAACACTCAAACGTGTCAGACAGAGTTTTTATTGGGGGCTCGTGAGAAGAGATGTGGAGGATTTTT